ATACATTAATTCATACCCATACTTAAAAGTATTTGTATGTATTAATGTTATATTTTATATATATGCATGTTATATAGGCCTATATATATATTTATAATGTGTATATATATATATTTAATATATACGGTACATACTTCTAGATGTGTTACATAGTATATCAAATTGAACTTTTTTCTGTAATAATGTAAACGAGATACCTGAGCCGGAAAGTATAACATAAAAGGTCCATGGACGGTGATTAAAACGAATTACCACCCGATGCTGCTCGTATGCTTCGAACCACGATTTTTCTATTAGGCGCTTCTGCATCTCGATCGGAAACCGTCCTAGAGGCTTATGTCTTTGTAGTTCAACTTGCACCTATCAATACAAAGTCAGAAACTATAAAACGAACAATAAAAATTAATATAGGTTCATCATTGTTTTTAAGGTAAAACAATATGTAAAATCGTTTTTCGTTTCCACCCATTGTATTTTTGCTGCTGGTTTTTTTCGATATTCTTTCTCAATTTTCTTCCAAAATCATAGTCAATATAAAAATTTAGTAGGCATAGGCATATAGGCCTATATTAAAAGAAGAAAAACATAGGCTCGCAATAGAACATTGAAGGCATCAATATAAAATACAAAACCATCTTCAAAAATCAACCCTAAGTTCAAAAGGAATGAACAGGAATAACGATAATTTGCCACTTTACCTAAACCTTTTGATGGGTGGATTTCCCTTTTATATATTGGATTGTTTTGTCATTAAAGCAAAATAGGCCTAGCTACCTACATGGTAAATATCCGCTTCTTTTCTATCTCCTGGTTTGATATTTAGAACTCGTTTCGTTGCTTTGGATACACGCCTCTGACGACATAAAAGTGCGAACAATTAGAAAAATAAAATTATGGCAGATTCAGTATTATATACTTAAACGTGGTAAGAACAAAAACTATCAAGTCACTATCATCGTCATCATCACCATCAGTGTCATTATTATCATCATCATCATAAACGTCGTCGTCATTGCTGTCTGATCATCATCATCATCACCGCAATTATAAACGTCATATCATCATTATTATAATCAGTATTATCATTGTACATATAATTGTTTTTATCATTATTTTTCATTATTATTAATCCTTATTAGTTATTAATATTATCATCATTATAACGATGATCATCATCATCATCATTGTCATTATCATAATTATCATCATATCACCTTTTTGCTAGCCTTGAATCTGGTAATATCAAACACCAAGTCATTCTGTATTTTATAGCTATCTGCGGCTTGCGCAGCATCCATTGCTGTATAAAGGTTTACAATCTGCCGATCGCTCTCACTATGTATACCACAATAAAAAGAGAAATTCAAATTAATGACGGATCTTAACAATCCTCTAGAAAGATAAATACTTCCTATGTGAATTAATAGTCTTTTATATTTTTATATCCAATTGCAGGTGGTATTTTCTAACTTAATCTAAAGATGCTGAATTTATGAGTGTTATTTTTCTGATTCTGCAGCAAAATTCATGCTTTCAAAAATACCTAGATCAAAACATTCATTTTCTATTACTCCATTCTGAATGTACAATATACTTACCTGAATATATACGTTTTTGCCATCCTGAGTAATAAAATTATCAGGGTTACTCTTGCCAAGAATTTTCCTCTCCTGGAAGTCTAAAAAATGTAAATAAAAGTATGTATTGATAGTGATAGACTTATTTAACAAAATGTAAATTCGAATTTTCAACTTACGATTACGATTTTTTGTTACACATACATTAAATAAAATAAAATTTTGTTCTTAAAATTTCGTGTGGCTTCATCAAGTTACTGTAGTTAATTTGAAACGCAACAAGAACATATTTTATTGGATAGACTAAATAACAAATCCACAAAATGTTTACTTTTCAGACCGCATTATCAGTAACATTTCAATTAATTAAATGTCTGCGCAAGTACAAGATGGTAAACTGTGCACACGTGCTCATCTTTTGCCGAGCTACATGTGTGATATACATGCATATTCAAATTACACACACGCGCGCACACGGGCGCACTTGCATATTAAGAAGGTTTATAATGTCTACTGAGCTGGGGACGATATATAAAGTAATTTTTACTTACATAAACTTTATTGTTGTTGATATCGGTGCATGGTGTCGTCTGGCCCACCTGTTTCATCATGTCTTTGTAAGTAGTTCTCATTTTGTTATCAGGAATTGCAAGTCTCCTGCCTCGCTCTCGATAAGCTTCAGATGCTTTCACTTTCGAATCACCCTGATTAGGCCCATTAGAACGCGTTATTCTTTTATATATATTTGTCTCATATTGCTTGCTCTGAACTCTCCGTTTTTTGTGTCTTCTGCCCATTAAATCAAGCACCGAGTGTATGTGCTGTTTTTTCCGATGGGCGTTCATGATATCACGATAAGAAGACGAGTGTCGGGAACATTCCCCTTCAAGAGATAGCTCGTCGTCACAGTAGGGTACAGAGAGTCCTTTTCTCTCTCGGCGTCTTTGTGATATAAGTTCGTGCAATGACATTTCTCCTGACATAGCTCCCAAACCACCGAAGTGCCTTGCCCCAGTCGACTTATAAACGGGTATATGCATATTGGAGAGCATGTCCTTATTATACCCTACAAGGTTCATAATTCTCGATAGATTTACACTTTCTCCCCTGCATCTTTAGTTTAACCATTTGTTGTTGTATGATGATAGAATATTACATACGGTTGCCATGTCTACTTTCCTGGTAGAGCTAAGAAAATAATTAGACAATAAGCGAGCGCGCCCTTCATTAGCCAATCACAACCCTCGATGTTTTATCAGCGGGTCGACTTTAGCTTGTCGTTGTGCATTTAGTTCCACCTGCAGAAGTAATAATCTTTCAATTCTCTTGAAATTCAATATTTATTTTTAAAAACACAATCATTAAATAGATACGTTGAACTATTGGCCTTACAATAAAGTATTCAGCATTTCATGCGATTTATTTAGATGAAGCAAACGGCACCCATGTGAGATATTAGATTAATATGATTGACATCTGCCTTGCACGGGCCTTTGTATGGACAAGGAAGTTAAGCAATTCCGAAATATCGAGGATAGCAATCCTGAAAGACGCAAGTAAAAAAAGTGTAGGCTTATGTGTTTGTATTGCTCTTTACAAACATAGGCCGACTCTATCAACATTCTGCTCGATAATAATCCCAATCGGCCAACAAAACGGCATAGCAATATAGATGTTACGGTACCATAGTAATTAAAACTGCTCGTTATTTTATACGATAAAATATTTGAAATACTACGCCTTTGCAAACGCGGCACACGTCATGCGTAAATATGATGGTGGTTCAGGTCTAAAATTAAATTGCGTGAAAAAAGTTATTAAGTTAAAAATGTTTAAAATGGTATTCATTAATGTTAATTTTTATTATTCAAAATATCGTTTCTTTGTTTTTATATGAAATTAAGATCGTTCATCAGTTGTTTGGACTTTCAAAGTACTGGTACTTATGATTGCACTAGCTTCAATCATTTATTAGGCCCTATATACATGACATTTGGGATTGGCATTCGGAAAATTAATGTCGGCGTACATAACAACGATTAGTTGCTGAACAACAGTTTCTATAGCAACGCCACATCAGGAGGACTTCGAGAGACGTTATATTATATCCACAGAGTTGTATACCTCTTAAAACTGTTGTGCCGACTGGTGCGGCAATTACCATTAGCAATATTTTATGCAGACTTACACTAATGTGGTGTTGTCGAGAAATCATTTACAATGAAGTGATGTTATGGTACATAAAAAATATATAACCATTATCGAGTGTCTTCGAATTACGATCTGATGCACAACCAAATTCGAAAGAACGTTAAAACGCAATGAAACAAAAATCCGTTAATGGTAAAATCTTGACGTGCCTGTGGCGCACAGTCTGCATAGGAAACTTCATGTTCAAAATGTAAAAATATATTCGCATTCTTGCTTCACAAAACCAATCAGGTAAAAATTCGACGTTAAAGTAGGTCTGGCAGCGATATGTACCTTGTGCAAAGTGATATACGTCATTTTTCAATATCATATCATGCAAACTGAGATTTAAATGTCGATCCGACATTCATTAACTACCAGCTAACAATTTGACGTTATAATTACGTTATAGTTTGATGTTTAAAACTCTTTTTTCTTGTTTTTGTAGAACCATAAATACGTATTCATATTTCCAACTAACTAACGTTGCTTAAACGTTGTGTTAACGTCATGTTGTGACATAGCATAAACCTAACCACTACCGTATGTTCAAAACTCGCGAATCTACCGATGTACCAGAGACGTCGTGATATACAGCATCTATACGGGCATCTATATTGCACCTATATAGATATTTTAGCACCTCAGACGAATCACAAAGTACCGATAGGATAGGCACTATTATAAAATACACCGAATTATATGTAACCAACGGACCAATGTCTGGTGCCTGCTAAAAGTCTAACCCACTGGTTCTTAATTAATTTTGTTTGAAGGGCCAAATTATTTTTAGAGTTGACCTCATGGGCCAAAGATCTTCGGCATGTTAAAAGCAATCGCTATACATCTGGGTGAAACTCTTTCCTCTAAGATGGGTCTATTTGAAAGGGGTTTCTTTTTTGGCAATTTCAAATTATACTATTATTGATTATGCAATTGTTATTGGCTATCTTGCGTCATCAGTTTAACAGTCATTAGTCAACTTTGGTGGATCGCTTTACCAATGTAACTATATCACAATACAAAAGCCTACGCTTAGAGTTTAAACTTATTTTTTGAAAAATACAAAAGTTTTTTGCATCTTGTGGAAAACAAATTTTTATTATCCCTGTAAAGTAAAGAATGATATTGACGAGTCACAGTGAACAGAAGAAAACACTGAGACTGAACTGTGGCACAAAAGTCGGTGTAATGCTATATTGTATGATTTGAAAAGACGGCTACTGACGAAACACTGTGATTAGAACAACAGAGACAATCGGCAGCACAGAAGAGTCCTGTATGACATACGGTACATTATTTGTAGGACAATCGAAATGCATTTTCATGAGCACTGTTCCTTGGTTAAATTAAGTAGGAATGTCATTGACGATAAAACCCAATAGACGTATTTCAAAATAACCTAAGTGTAGGCCTAGTTGTGTTTACCTCCTATGATTTAACAATGGGTTTCTTCTAACGTTAGTCTCAAATCATGCATCAGGACTCTGCAATCATTACAATTTTAACATATCCCCTGGGTTGCTATGTCGAATGTAGCTGCGCCAATAAGAATAACCATCTTGGGAGTATTTTTATAGTTCTGTTTACAGGGTTTAATTTTGGTTCTGAGTGGGGTAACCCTACATCATAACGCGTTTTTTATTTTTTTAAATTTTTGTTTTTGCTTGTTTGAAGTGAAGAATAGGACCACGAAAAGCACGAGGTAAGATGCTATATAGGCCTAGTGTATAGTGAAATTTAAACAAATGCAGATGTGAATATTTAACAGCACTGGCCAAATGAAAAGAAGATGATATTACGACTCGCATAATGCTATTGAATGTGGAATGAGTTTGTTATATAAAACTATCGTAACTTCTGAAAGAGCTTAATAACAAAAAGTGTGTGTGTTACATGAACAACAACATTCTGTGCATGCTATCTGGCCGATTTTCCCGCTAACAACACCATCAACTTCGTCTCATTAAACCATGTAAATTATTTTATTATATGCTTAAGAAAACACTTATATGTTATCATGACCTACCTTGTATGATGTCAACAAATTTAATAATTGAAGGCAATCAGTAGCTCTCTATAAAATGGTAACAGGTAAAAATTATAGCTACCTATATCTCAGTACTGTTTATGAATCAATAATGGACTGTGGTGGGCCACGGGTTGTACTAAATCTCTTTCCAATTTCCTTTTTATCAGTTGCGGTTCAACTCGTGACTAGAAAGAGCTATTCTAAAACGCGATAGATTACTATGGAAACCATTGAAAAGCTGTTGTATTTGTTCTATTTTTGGGTTTTCATAAACAATGTCGGTAGTCAGGTAAAATTCTACCAGTGGGCTTTGCACCCATTTAGACGTATAATAGCATTAG